GAAAGCATTGCTCAGTTGATCAGCTACTTTTCAACATGGCTCTCGATAAGAAGAACGATGGTCCGAAGAAGAAGATCGTTCTATTGTCGGCTATTGGACGCACGTACGAGCCAAAGGCTAGCGTAGTTCCCAATGAGGATATCGGCGTTGTCCTTGCCCCGAGCATCGAAGTCCACCCTGGCGTCGAGGCAGCATCTAATGTGATCTGCATTCCCCCTGGCTCAAAGAGTATATCCAACCGAGCTTTGGTTCTTGCTGCTCTTGGTTCTGGAACTTGCCGCGTCAAGAATCTCCTCCACTCGGACGACACTGAAGTCATGCTGAACGCCTTGGAAAGGCTCGGTGCCGCAACCTTCTCCTGGGAAGAGGAAGGCGAAGTGCTTGTAGTAAATGGTAAAGGCGGAAATCTTCAAGCAAGCCCCTCTGAGCTCTATCTCGGTAACGCAGGCACTGCCTCGAGGTTCCTCACCACTGTCGCAACGCTTGCCAATGCAAGTAGCGTAGATTCAAGCGTCCTCACTGGCAACAATCGCATGAAGCAAAGACCCATTGGCGACCTGGTAGATGCACTGACAGCAAATGGTGCATCAGTCGAATATATGGAGCGGAAAGGCAGCCTTCCCCTCAAGGTAGCTGCGTCTGGCGGGTTTGCGGGAGGAAGAATCAACCTTGCTGCTAAAGTGTCTTCTCAATACGTATCGTCTCTGCTTATGTGTGCTCCTTACGCTAAGGAGCCAGTTACGTTGAAATTGGTGGGTGGTAAGCCCATCTCTCAGCCTTACATTGACATGACGACGGCAATGATGAGATCCTTCGGTATCGATGTGCAAAAGTCCACGACTGAGGAACACACATACCACATCCCTCAGGGCCGTTACATTAACCCTGCCGAGTACGTTATTGAAAGCGATGCCAGCTCTGCCACCTATCCTCTCGCAATTGCAGCGATTACTGGAACGACATGCACTGTTCCTAACATTGGATCCAAATCCCTCCAAGGTGATGCCCGATTTGCTGTCGAGGTCTTGGGGCCCATGGGCTGTACCGTCAAGCAGACTGACACTTCGACCACCGTCGTCGGACCGTCCGATGGTATTCTGCGGCCGCTGCCGAATGTGGATATGGAACCTATGACGGACGCCTTCCTTACGGCATCTGTTCTCGCTGCTGTTGCTCGTGGAGACGGCGCAAACCATACCACTCGTATTTATGGAATCGCCAACCAGCGTGTAAAGGAATGCAATCGTATCAAGGCCATGAAGGATGAACTCGCCAAGTTTGGCGTCGTCTGCCGGGAGCACGATGATGGTCTTGAGATTGACGGAATTGACCGCTCAACTCTTCGGCAGCCGGCTGGCGGCGTCTACTGCTATGACGACCACCGCGTTGCTTTCAGCTTCAGTGTCCTCTCTCTCGTGGCTCCTCAGCCAACCCTCATCCTAGAAAAGGAATGTGTGGGCAAGACGTGGCCTGGCTGGTGGGACACCTTGAGGCAGAAGTTCTCAGCCAAGCTGGAGGGTAAAGAGCTGAAGGAAGAGGAATCATCACCTCTTGCTGGTGCCGGAAGGGCTACTGCTTCAGTGTTCATAATTGGAATGCGTGGTGCCGGGAAGACCACGACTGGGCGTTGGGTCGCGAAGACCTTGAATCGTCCTTTCGTCGATCTTGATACCGAACTGGAAAACGTTGAAGGTCAGACGATTCCGGACATTGTCAAGCAGCGCGGCTGGCAAGGGTTTAGAGAGGCCGAGCTTAGCCTCTTACAACGCACTCTGAAGGAACGATCAACTGGGTATGTTCTCGCATGTGGCGGGGGTATAGTTGAGATTCCGGAGGCCAGGAAGTTGCTCATTGATTATCACAAGAACAAAGGTAACGTCATGCTTATCATGCGCGATATCAAACAAGTGATGGACTTCCTCAACATTGACAAGACCCGCCCCGCTTACGTTGAGGATATGATGGGTGTATGGTTGCGCAGAAAACCATGGTTCCAAGAGTGTAGCAACATCCAGTATTACAGCCAACATGCCACGGGTAAGCTCTCTAAGGCCTCGGAGGATTTCACACGTTTCTTCAATGTTGTCACCGGCGAGGCAGACAGCTTGAGCATCATCAAGCGCAAGAAACATTCCTTCTTCGTGTCTTTGACCTTGCCCGACCTACGAACTGCTGGCGATATTTTAGAGGAAGTATGCGTGGGATCCGACGCCGTGGAACTCCGCGTCGATCTGTTGAAGGACCCAGCATCGGATAGTGACATCCCATCGGTCGACTATGTGGCCGAGCAGATGGCTTACCTGCGCAGCTATGTTTCGCTTCCGTTGATATTCACGATTCGTACTAAGAGTCAAGGTGGTCGATTCCCTGATGAAGCGCACGATGCTGCAATGGAGCTGTATCGCCTCGCATTCAGATCCGGCAGTGAATTTGTGGACCTTGAAATAGCTTTCCCCGAAGAAATGCTGCGCACTGTCACAGAGATGAAGGGCTACTCAAAAATCATCGCATCACACCACGACCCCAAGGGAGAATTGTCATGGGCGAACATGTCTTGGATGAAGTACTATAACAGGGCTCTTGAATACGGCGATATCATCAAGCTTGTCGGTGTTGCAAAGGATCTAGATGATAACACGGCGCTCAGGAAATTTAAGAGCTGGGCAGAGGAAGCACACGAGACTCCATTAATCGCTATTAACATGGGCGACAACGGACAACTCAGTCGTATCCTAAATGGCTTCATGACCCCAGTGTCTCACCCTAGCCTGCCTTTCAAGGCTGCCCCTGGTCAACTGTCTGCGACCGAAATCCGCAAAGGATTGTCCCTGATGGGAGAGATAAAGCAAAAGAAGTTTGCAGTGTTTGGTACCCCTGTCTCAGGCTCTCGCTCCCCAGTCCTCCATAATACCCTCTTCTCCCAGGCGGGCCTTCCTCACGAGTATGGTCGTTTGGAGACGGCGAACGTTGAAGACGTCAAAGACTTCATTCAGTCTCCTGAATTTGGAGGCGCTTCCGTGACAATCCCTTTGAAGTTGGACATCATGCCCCTACTAGACGAGATCACACCAGAAGCCGAAATCATTGGCGCCGTGAACACTATCATTCCTGTCGCTGATGGAGACAAGCCAGCGCGCTTAGTGGGATCCAACACTGACTGGCAAGGAATGACCCTCTCCCTCCGTAATGCCGGTGTTGAGACTGCCAATAAGGATGCCAGTGCTCTCGTTATCGGTGGCGGTGGTACTGCCCGCGCTGCCATCTACGCTCTCCACAGCATGGGATTCTCTCCCATCTACGTTATTGGGCGAACGGCCGCCAAGCTCCAGAGCATGGTTTCGACCTTCCCCTCCAGCTACAATATCCAGGTCGTCGAGAGCCCGGAGACACTAAAGACAATTCCCACCGTGGCTATTGGCACCATCCCTGCCGACAAGCCGATCGACCCCGTTATGCGTGAGACCCTCTGCCACATGTTCGAGCGCGCCCAAGAGGCCGATGCCGATGTGGTCAAGACAGGAGAGAAGGCACACCGTGTACTTCTTGAGATGGCCTACAAACCATCTGTGACGGCCTTGATGCAGTTGGCTTCCGATTCCAATTGGCACACTATACCCGGACTTGAAGTCCTGGTTGGCCAGGGATGGTACCAGGTAAGCTTTAACCCATATACGTACTCTGTTGAACATCAGGAGCTGACTAGGTATATAGTTCAAAAATTGGACCGGGATCTCTCCCCTCTACGAGGATGCAAGGGCCGCCGTGCTTAGCTCCTAGTTCTGTTTAGACGTCTAAGAAAGTTTATAAAGTTTTCCTCAATAAAAGCGCTGTTTTGAACAGGATTAGATACAAAGGATTGGGTACCCAAAAATAGTGCTTATATTCTATGATGGTAGCATTCTATCTTCTATAACTATTTCCGGCTCGTGAAAATAGTCCTGTATCTTCTCTTCAGTAGATCACTGTTTTTCCCCTCTCGTTGTCTACCCCTCAGACATATCTGGTCTATCACCGAACCAGGCTTCTACTGATCATGACACAAACTAGATAAAAGACCTATAATATCATCTACCCTTCAAAGAAAAAAAAAACACTCTTGTCTCGTAAAAAAAGACAATAGCAACCCCGCTTCAAAGAGAGTAAAAAAGAAAACGTATGCGAATCTTTTGTGTCCAGCTTAGCACAGTGAAACGAATCATCACAGTTACTCCAAAATTATTACACCAAACTCCGGGTGTGCTTCGATCCATTTCTGGAGGAGAATCTGTTCTAGGTCATAGCGGCGTGCATCTCCAGCTCTGGGATTCCTCTCAATGAGCATCATGTTCTGTTCAACACAAGAATTCTATAGTGTTCGCTCCCTAGAAAAACCACCCTTTTCACAATCAGAGTTGAGAAGGACTCTCTTCCCTACAAACCCATAGGGGAGCACGGAGAAGTGATGGTGATAACCATAGCTTTTCGGGAGCTAATATTCAGCTATGGAAATGCTCGTTAATGAGGGTTACCGGGCCTTTATCACCAGGGGGGCTTCTGTTGCCCGTGTCGGATGCTGGCTGGCATAGTTCGGTTGGACGGATTATGTCTTGGAAAAGCTGAACCGTCAGATTCCATCACAGCAGGCTTACTACTGTAAGCCTTTGACGATGAAAGGTTGGAAAACGCCTCTTCCGCCGCACTGATGTCTATGTTTGAGATCGGCCATGAAACGTTCCCATGTAACCAACGCTGAAGTTTAGTGCGTGGGCTGTCCGGACAGAGATCGATACCGAGGTGATCAATCACAAGGAAATAGAGTGAGGATTGACGCACAGATGTGGCCAGCTTTGGCAAAAAGTCATTCCGAAGCAACTCAACTAGCCAAATGTCATACGGTGATTCGGTCAACCCATTCGTCGGGCAAGGCGACAGCAGAAATCCGCAGCTGGTCATATCGAATAACTACTATCGAAAGGTCATAAATTAGCTCCAGGGATGACCTCTGGTCCCAACAGCCTTGATTATCCCTGCTGAATACCACTCGTAGTGCGTCCCCAATCTAACCCCCCAACTACTTTGATCATCGTTTGGACTTGACACCTCAAGCGGGATACCGTCTCCATGGTCCATTTGATATTAGAGCAACCCGTTTCTGTTGCTGTTTCACCAGTCGTCTGTTGCACAATTTCTGCGTACTGGAACTCTCGCACCGAATTTCCCAGCAGGTCCAGGATAGTATCAACATAATTCAGAGATGAGACAACGAGCAAGCTCTTGTGCGCTCGGTCCTCTTCCTCGGACAGCCGAAATGATCCTAAGCCCAGCCTCGCATTGGAGACATACCATGCGCCATTCTTGGCCACCCTGTAGAAGAGGTTTGTAAGGTGTTGGAGTGCAACCATGGTCATGATAAATCGGAGTGAGTCTTTTGTGCAGAGCGTACAGGACAGCTCTTGTCTAATTTGTTCACACGTTTGACGAGATAATTCCAGAATGGAACCCAGGACCATCTGGTCAATGTCATCTTGAGCCCCACTTAGCTCAGCGATGCAGAGCAGCTGGGCCCTCATACACGCACATCTAGCTGAACGAGGCCGACTACCGAGGTCAAACGGGCTCGGTGGCAGATTAAAGCTAGAGATTCCAGTCGAAGAACTCCACTCATCATCTGTGGAACTGCCAGAACCTAGGCCTATGCCGAGTAGCATATCTGACGACAGAACCAAGTTGGAGGTTGCAGAATCCGTTGGAGTACTGAATGGGTGGTGGACATTCAGACCAGCCTGTGGGGTTCAATTCGGAGTCAGTATGAACCTTGAAGAGCAACGGGACTAGACGTACTGATACTTGGAGTAAAGCATTATGATTCAATCCCGTTGCAAAATAGGGCCCCGGGAGAGAGGAATGTTTATCACATGAAGACAACCCATCGTGGGAGACAGACTGTGGAGGAGATACTGTATTTGGGTCCACACTTCGGCCGTCGTTCAGATGCAGATCTCTCGAGCTTCCGCGGCCATGTCTACCGATAAGAGTATCGCTGTAGGGAGGCGAAGCTTGAGCAGCCGGCTTTTGCACTCTGTTCGCCTTCAGCCTTCCATTCCGCAGCGAAACACTGTAGTGACAATTTGCACCATTATTCCCGCAACGTTGGCATGGATTACCGCCGGTACACTTGACGCGAGACTGACGACAAGCATCGCATGCGGAGCAGAGACGGGGCGATGAACGTCGAGAAGGGGCTTCGGTGGCTTTCCAACTAGTGGACAAGTGACTTGGGACTTCAGAGGAAGAGACCATTGCGGATAAGGTTATATGAGTAGTGTAATTTGTGAAGTGACTCGGAGTCTCTGGCTGGATGGCGAGCGACGGATTTAATATATAGATCGTGACCGCTTCGAGCATCACGCTAGACCTAAACCAGTCGGATATCGGATGGATGGTTTAGCCTAGGGGAGATGATGCTCGCATGGATAACCAGCGTATCTTATTCTGCAGGACAACCGGGGACATTCCCGTTTTCTTTAATCTCTAGATTAAAACACAATCTGACGTATCAGTGAGTTTGATTGGCATCCCGAGACCCGCTTCCTCTCCCGTCAGGTTTCAATTGAGGGCCCAGCATTCGCAAAACTCTAATATCCCTCATCTGCAGGCTCATCAGCTAGTGTTAGCGCCAGTCCTACGCCTCTTGTTGGCTTCTCTTTTTCCAGGATAGCCTCAAGCCAGAACTAATCACCGGGTAGCCGCATGCCCGTCCATAAGCAGGGACAAACGGAGCGAAGGATTCATCATCCGGGGCCTCAATGAGAGCAATTGTGATCGACTGCGGAGGAGGGTGCGAAGGGAAGGTCTGTAATAGAAGGATCTGAACCCTAGCCACCCTTGAACAAGATATGCATATCAAGGCTCCAATGAGAAGTGGAGCTGGCATCGGAAGCAAGAGACAGCCGGAACTTGCTGGTTGCGCTAAGGGCCTCGACTAGCTTGATGCATCTCCTTCACGCTAGAAACACATGGTACTGTACAATCAGAATGTCTCCAAATCATAGGACATTAAATAGCTCGATCTATTTTCTGAACATGCGCCCCAAGCGGACAAATCGTCAAAGGCCCCCCAGACAGGTAATTCCGCTTTGTCACTCGCCGCTCTGAATTCTGGAATTGAAGGATTTAGACCCGACCCACTTGTCCAGTTAAAGTCAAAGCGGTTTAGCTTCTCGGCTGAAGAACAAGATGGTTTCTGACAACGGTCCGGCCACGTCGATCAGCAGTATGCTTAACGTTGTTCAGTCTGCATAGTGCCATCCTTACCGTCCGTCCCGGGCAATCACCAGATACTAGGTACTAGTTCTCGGAGTCTACAAGAGACCGTTTCAAAAAGATGCGCGATGGTTTCGGCCAAGAAGCACAAGTGAATGCGTACGGGAAAGGTGGCGAAAGGGACGATATCGATGGTAACAAGGATCATGGCTTTATCGCTGGATATACCCTATAATTTTGCTCGGATATTGCACCATACCCATAGTCTAGGCAGTAAAGGTATGCAATCACAATCAATCTAGCGTGTGGAAGTCCGCGCGTACGTGAGATCGAATGGCGGATGTCTTGTGATGCGAGCAATGTCACCGACAATAAAAGAAGTAAAGAGCGTTAAGATTAAATTACAGATAGTCCTCTGTGTCTTCCATAGGCTCGTAAGCAATGACAGCGTCTCGGGTACCAAGCAGAACTGTTTTCCCTAACTAGAAAAAGATCAGCTTCAACCAATCCGCCTGCTGTCTCCCCTATTTATGGCCTTTCGTACCATATCTGGGCTTATCTTCGGAGAAACGAGCAGAATTAAAGACAAAGAAATAATAATAAATAAATAAAAAAAATGGGGTGACGGTGTCCACTCTCCCCAGTTTTCGTGGCCCATCTGGACTGGTACATATTGCGAAAGTATGTGGTTAGGGTTATCCACGTGATTCGCATGGTCTCCGCACCTTTATGCATGTACTGTGATTAGGTAGTCTTGAATGGAGTACCTACTGTAGGCAGCCAGTGAATCTCGGGATATAGTAGAGAAGCTAAGGGTTTTAGGAGGGGAAAAGTTCTTGTTACTGATCGACGTTATCGACATGACTCCTGAGCGGGTCCGGAGCCGACGACTGTAACTGCCCATCCATCAGAAGTACTCAGCTTCATCGATAACTTCGAACCGTTCCAAATCTGACCGACTTCGGCCGGATGCCGGTCAGTATGAGGGATTCAGAAGTTCGTTCTTTATGTGGACAAGGAAAGTAATACCTAAGTGTTCCTCCAACAGAGGTTAGCCAAAAGTTCATAGTCAAGGAAGAAGCTCATACGCTCCTGTCTCACTTTCCATTTACCATTTTGAGACAAGTTCTGGATGAAAATCGATTAGTCTTGAACGATGTGCTCAACGTAGCAAAAGCCGAGGTAGGTAGATATAACTAACAGGACTAAGCCACAAACTCCGGCGGGTCGGCGGGACATAGACTTCTCAAAGGAGCCAAGCCATACCGGTCCGGTGTAGCTCACACGAAGGTGGATTCAGATTAGTTTCTCCTAGTGGGTAGCAATATGGGAACATGAGGAATAAAAATAAGGTTAAAGGGGACCTGGAACTGAGATCTTCAGCATCTAATTGGCAAGCGACGAACGGTGGATGCAGTATCCTTCTTCCCATTCTTCTTCCAGTTTTATGCCTCAAGCCCAATTTTGATCTGTTGTGCCATTTTTCATCCTTCTGCTTCGATCTTATCTCGAAACATCAGGTCAATAGAGCGGTGGAAGTAGAGCTTCACATCCAACCCGGTAGCTTCCGGTTAACCATCCCTGTAGACGGCGGAAAGGGTACCGGTTACTAGCTAATTTCGAACACGTGCATGACTAGCCGATCGATAATCGCTTTATAACGCTTAATATAGTCATGTTCGCTGTCGGCCCATCACAGTGTGATTACTGGTGGAATGAGCTGGAACGATAGTCCTTGCCATGCTTGGCTCGAGGCATTGAAGCACATCGAGCGGTCAAAATGAATGTGCATACATGAGAAAGAAAGCCCTCCCCACGTATCTGAAGCAGTGTGGAGAACTCTATCCATAATTGGTCACTATAGCAATGTGAAGGATGCGGGACATCTTGTCGATCGACTCGGTGAGAGCGAAAGAGGGAACAATTCCGCGTGTGGTGCTGGCAATAGAAAAACGTGGCCTTTGGGGCTATCGCTCGCTACTCTGGTGGACTAGCGCTTAGGTATATCCCAGGCAGCTAATTATCTTTAGTATAAGAAATATGATGCGAATAGTTATGTCCCAAGTGCCAAGAACTTAAAGTATCTGCCTACCTCGAATTTGTTCAATCTAACTGTCGCCAAGTCGTCTATTTACACGGTGAGACAGCCAAATTTGGTTAACAGGAGAGGATCAGCACTGGTTCCGTATTTCTACCCAGATCAAAGTGATCGTTTTTTTTTCTTTTGCTTTTCTTATGTTCCATATCTTAACCTTTTTTTTGGGGGGGGGGAGGGTGTCTCTTTACCCCAGAATGATGGTAGGGTCCTTCAGCCCATCTCAAACAAGGACGAAGTCTTCATCATTCTGATGGGACTACCAGGACAAATAAATCAAGACCCAATATTGAGGACAAAACAAACAAAAACAAGGAAAAAGAGCCAAGGGGTAGACAGATTATCATTGAGGCAATATCGGAGGTTAACGTTGTAACAATAAACCCTTTTAGCTCGGGATTTATACCTAACATTTCGGGCCGGACACGTGAGTATTTATGGGTTCAATACCTATTTGACGTTCCTTTACACAAAGAAGCGACACGACCGTTCAGTATTCCACTATATACCATGATTTTCTTCCGTAGAGGTCTCAAACCAATACAGCGTACGCCGCCAATAGGTCGGATATCCCTACTCTGCTGTGGTAAGTATAACAATGACCATAACAGCGGGCACCCCTTAACTGATTCAGGCAAGCTAATCAGTCTCGAGGAGCTCTTCGCATATACTAATGACCATTTCCTTATCGACGAACAACACCAGCTTGATCGGCGCTACCTGAAGTTCGACTTAGATACTCTTTGTGGCATTACTGCTTTCGTCAATGGGGACTCATCTCGTATTGTAACTACTGAGAAGCTCGAAGGGGGTTTCAGCAAAGCTCTTTTAATGAAAAAGGAAAACGGAAAGGAAGTCATTGCGAAGCTTCCCTGTCGCATCGCTGGACCAACCTCCCTTACAACAGCATGTGAGGTGGGTTTTGGAATATGGTGTGTATTCCTGCTCCTAGTTTCCCCACTTACTCACATACGTTATATCAATTGCAATACGAGAGCTATATCAGATATCAAGCACACAACCGAATGATAAGCAACCAACATTTAGTCGAGGAAGTATTCAAGAACAAGCCCAGCTTTTAAAGTACCCAATGGATCTTATGTAGATGCTAGACTCACACTCAGTGTTATCCCAGTCTGCTCAACCTACACTATGGCACAGTGACCTTCATATGGGGAATATTTTTGTTTCACCTGACGAGAGCTCAAGGATAGTATCCCTAATTAACTTTCAATCCTTATCGATCCTTCTGTTCTTTCTTCAAGCCCAATGGCCAGTGTTTTCAAAGCCTCCACAAAATTATATCAAAGGATTTGTGCAACTCGAACTGCCTGATCACTTCAGGGAACTGGACGAAGAAGGTAGAACTACTGTGTTACAGGAATGGTCCCTGTCCAAGCTAGCAAAGGCATACAAAGTTGGGATATTCCTTGAAAACAGAGTTTCACATAACGCCTTAAATATACCCTGCGTTTTTCGGGACTTTTTCATCCACTGTGGAGAAGGCTCTGAAGTTGGGTGTCATTCCACGGCGAGAAATGTTTGATAGAGATTTTCCGGAATTGGTCCAATTTGGGCTCCAGTGACCAATGTCCTTATTCATTCAGTGATGAAGAGATTGCCACACACAAACAACTTACTAATATTGAAGAGAAGCGGGGGCAACTCATGGAGCTTTCATCTTTGTACATAAAGCAAACGGCTGGAGAAAAATCCCCTGACGAACAAGAGCGATGTGGGCTTTCCCCGGATCATGAGCTTCCAGTACCTTTGTCCATAATAGAAGCCTCTCACGTCTTAAATACTGAGCAAGGTGTGTCCGCTCTTCTTTCTTTCGGGTCTTTTTCAATACAAATGCAGTACGAAACAGAGTTCTCGACCTCTAAAGGCAGTAGAGCAATCTAATAATGTAGACGCTTTCTTCCCATCATAGGCCTCGGCA